TAAATGTATAAAATATATAAAGCTGGGAATGTAAAACTGTAACTGTCAAACTGTAAACATAATAGGTATAGGTAAAATGTTATCAAACTCTGTTTAGTGTCTGTTTTCGGCATTATAATTTATGATATAAATATGAAAACCAATCTGCAAGGGTATACAAACTTCGGCGTGCCGAAGTTAGCTTCCTTTCTTGTTAATATTCCCTTGCTTCTAGTTTGTTGAATTGCAAATGGAGTTTTTTTTGAGCAAGTTTAATTCGTTGCAGGAAGTTTTCGTCGCGCTTCCTTTCTCTTATTTTTGGTGTTCTGATTTCATACACTGCAAAAATTTGTCAACCTTAAATGCTACAAATCCACCATAATTTACCTTAAATTTTAAGTGTATTTTGAGACCGTTTTTATGAATAAATTTCCCTTTAAATATACTTAAATGTTTTGTAAAGGTATTTGAAATTCATTTTATATTAAAAGTAATATGGGATTAGCAAGCAAAACTCGGGGATATTGACAGATCTAATCTAAAAATAAACGATTTTTGTATTTCTTTCAAAGTAGTATACTTTTTCTCTGTTTTCAACGACTCTCTGTGCCTTTTCCTCGCTTTCCTCTTTCTCTCTCACGTCGGTTTTTTAACCCGCACGCGACAATTATGCATATTTTTATAAATAAACATGCAAACACGCGCGCGCAGGCACATATACATACATACGTATACATATATTTACAGGCCTTTGGCCAACGAAGCGTATGCGTAATATTTTTTCAGCTCTGGCCAACACATTCAGCGCGTCGTGAAAATAAATTCTTAAAAAAAAAAAAAATAATAAATTTTCACTGCTTAAAAAATGTTGCCCCAGGGGAAATATGAAAAGGAGATTGTGAAGGCTTAAAAATTGCCTAATTGATTGCAAAAAATCATGAATTTATAAAGTCGAAACCGGGAACGTGTCGAGTCTTATTAAAAATAATTTTAGAAGGAGAAGGGAAAGCCGAAACCTGCCATGGAAATTCACTGAGCCTCTGATGATCGCTGAAAGAAAGTCTTACCCTATCGCAGCGAAAAGCCTTTTCCAATTTTCCGCTCTCCCGACTTGCGGCTCTTGGCTTTCCCAGCAGCCATTAATCAACATTATCAGCTTATGTCAAGCCTAAGCCGGCGAACCTCTGGAAATAATTACCCAGTACTTAGTGCGCGGCCGGGTTTATAAGGCGAGACATCTGCACATGCATGGGAGCCCAACCGAATGATACTTGGCCATGCCAGAAGTGGGACAGCCGCAGAACGGCGATTTAATTGGAAAGGAGCCCCCAAAGTGAGCCACTGAGGGAACTAGAAATCTCTCTAATGATTCGAATCACTTCCAAGAGTTCACCTGAAGAAAAGTTCAAGGCCTCGAGCAACACGTGAGCGACTTTTACTTTTGTTAGCCGCTGCCCGGGTAGAGTTATGTAAATAGTAGTTGGGCATCGGTTTGGGGGTCAGTGGAATCTCAGCGCGATGGAAAACACAAAAGGGGCCCGGGCTTGGCCTATTATATTGATTAATCGTCTAAGGTCCGCCGCTGCTCAGGTTGACCCCGAACTATTCAACAAAGAGCGTCGTCCGGAGCGGCTAACTGTGAACTGTGAACGTCTCTATGGCCATCATGTGTGCCACATACCAGACCAGAGCCAACCGCTTCTATCGGTATTGATTGGGCTTCTTCTCTAGAATAATTTTGCGTATATTTTTGCGCAAATTTTCGCCTTTTGATCTCCGGAATTGTGTCAGAATGCGGCACAACTGCTGCAGACCCAAAATAAAGCCAAAAAAAAATACAAAACAAAATTTATAAATACAAAAAAAGACCGACAGTGAGTCAGAAATAGTGGAGATGCTAAGAAGCTTTGGGTTTTTGGGGCCAACCAGTCGCCAAAAGCCACTGTCAGTGGGTCAAAGTGGCGAGGAATCAAATGCGAATTGCGGCAGCATCGTCGCACTGCTGATTTTCCGTTTATTTTATGTGTTTCATGAACATTTATTTCCAGGGCTAAATGCATTTAACAAGCACTTAATGCATGGCATGCGAAGCATTGCCGCGGCTCCATTAAAATTAAATTAAAAGCCATCTTGAATTATGGCCATCAAGTGGAAAAATACCCAATAAAAAATGCGAAAAGCACACATATAATCACATATGCAGAGACCAATTAAAAAAGCAACCCGAAACATCGTAAGATATTTGGTAATACTTTTGGGACAAATTATTATTTTATTCAAATAAATTGTTGCTATTTTTAATTTATGCTAGATAAACTCTCTGTCGCTGCCAATGTGGAAAACGGTTCGGAATCCACTTGAGAATATTATTCGACAGGCCATTTGATTCGTCATATTTTAGCGGACTCTTATGCAAAATACTCTTTATGCATATTTTTAGACGCGCCAAGTGTCTCTTGTTCGCACAATTACAAAATACAAATGAACAGCTCAAATTACTCAGCTGAACTGAAAGTGAAATTCATGTTGGCCTGAAGGCCACTCGGGTATTGTATTTTTTTGGGTCCATCTGCAAGTGCACTCCACAAAAATCATTCAACTTGAAATGTGAATAAAAGAAATCGAATCCAAAAACTCATTTTGACTGCATTCATGTAATTGCAGATCTTTGGGCATGTTTTTCGAAACGGAATTTCATAATTTATGCCTATAAAATAAAAAAAGGAGTTAAGTCTAAATACATTTATGGAGAATTTGGAATCAAATCCACTTTAACAAGAAAGGAAACTAACTTTGGGAAGCCGAAATTATATATTTTTGCAGTTTGCCATAGGATCATGGCATTGAATCAAAAATCGAACATAACTAAGCCAAAAATTGATCAATTTCAGTTTGGAATGCTTTACTGTGTTTGTTATTATTAGGTTAACAAATCAGCATATTAAATTTAAAATTTTAGGATATTAAATTTTTTGTTCATTTTTGCCAATTTTAACGATGTAACCCCTTATAAAATTTTTTAAAAAATTAAAAATTTTTTTTTCTTTTTAAAATGGCCAGAAATACTCGCCTGTTGATGCTGATCAAGTATATATATGATTTATGGGGTCGGAAATGAGTTTTTCACTGCTTTGCAAGCCTCTGACTAAAATTATAACTTTGGATATTTAATGTATCAATTTCTATTGAACGTCTTAAAGCTTATGTTTCGAAAGAGTTTTAAGGTTTAAAATGACGTTTATAAAACCATTATAGAGAACCACACTTGTTGTTGTTTTAATAAAGTATGCATATGAGTTTCCTCAAACCCTTTTCACCAGCTAAACCATTTGACCCTTTGGTTTGAGTCCCTCTCTCTCCGTTTCCTTTGGTACTTTGCTTTAAATTAAAGAAGCGGAATGTAGATTTCACCCATTTGGGTTTTCTACTATATATCCTTGCTTTTGTTCAGTTTGGCGGCTTTTGGAGAAGTTTTTGGCATTGGTATTTTTGCAGCTGTCGCTGCTGCCGCCACAGCAATAGAGCCCTGTTTCGGGGCTGGGGGAGCTGTGACTGTGGAGCCTCTCTGTTATTTCTTATTGTTACTGTTATTATTCCTGCACGCGCTGCTGCACCCTTCCTCGCCATCCCCAGCGGTGGCAGCTGTTGTCAATTTTTTACATGATTTCTGGCTCTCTCCACTATTGTACCGATGATATTCAATTCCGCAGGCGACATTCGTTTTGTGCCCTGTTTAATTTTGTTTGCCAAAATGTCCTTTAAAGACCTGCTGCAATTTGTCACATTCGGCGCTGATGGCCTGGCTGTTTACATTGTTTCCAATTCACTACAAACTCATTAGAAATGTGGTTAAGTGGGTGGCAGTGGGAGACGTGGCACTGCCTGCGGTTGTGCAGCTCCGACAACGGCAATGATAATAACGAACGATGATGGTGATGACTCTGGGAACTGGTTGCATCAGGAATCATTTATTTTGCAGAGGATTGCATATTAGGATTGTGTATTTTCGGGAGTGCCAATTTGTGTTTGTGGTTGAGATGTCTAGAAATCGGATGAGAATCCTAAACGAATTGGGATGAAGAAGTTATGAGGTTCTGCAAAAACCCTTTTTAAATATTTAAGTATTAAGTAATGATTTTTAAACTAATTTTCCCATAGGATCTTTAGCCTTAACATGTGCTGAATATTACAAAAGATATATTTAGTAATAATAAATATTTAAACATAAAAAATATTTAATTTATAGGCTTGCCTATGAATTTGTTAGAACAGATTTTATGATCTTAGTTCTTTTAATATTTAGTTTTTATTTAGTTGTTATTATTTCCCAGCTTACAAATCTCGACCCATTAAAGCTAAGCATTTATATTTTTCCGATTAAAACGAGCGATTCAAATTTAGATTACTTGTTAAATACACATTTATTTACCAAATTAGATAGCTGCAAAAAAAAGGGCGAATAAAAATCCATTTACCAGCGTATTTAGTATTGGTTTTTGGCTCTTTCATTGGCACTTCTGGTCCTCCAGCAACCACGTTCCCCGTTTCCGCTCTTGCCGCTTTATCAACGTTTTTGTTGCTTCCGCTTAGGAAAAACATTTTCATGAAATAAATTAGCAAATGCAATATCTGCACAGCGCCGGGAGGGGGCAGGGGGGCTGACAGAGATACATTTGAGTGTTGTAATTAAAAACAATTTTCGGTCGGACGATATATTGCCATTGGAGTTCGGCTCAAAGCCCAACTGGAATCTAGCTCGTACTGATCCAGCCCCATGCAAATGCTAATTATGCTTCATTATGGAAGTTTTAATCCGATTTAATTGAAAGCCAATTCCAGGCGGCCTCCCTCCGCCTCCGCCCACCCTCCGTGCGATTGTTATGGCAAGTGAACTTCACGGCTTGGTGCACAACTATTACGCTAGCAATTATATATCTCATTCATCACATATATATGCGATTATCTATATGGTTATTCTAACAAGTTTCCCCTTCTCCTCCTCCTCCTCCACCGCCCCGCAGTATGGCCAGTGTGCGGATCGTGCTTCTGGTGCGAGATCCACGGGGTACGATGCAGTCGAGGCGACATCGAGTCTGGTGCGGGGGCAACGAGGACTGCGAGGATCCGCGACTCGTCTGCCAGGATCTTCAGGATGACTACAAGACAGCTGAGCTGCTGTTGCAAAAGTATCCATCGCGTTTTAGGTGAGTTTACTAACCGCTCTCTACGTTATATAATATAACTCAAAAATTTCTTATCTGTCCCAGGACTCTGCGCTATGAGGACTTGTCACTGAATCCCAGTGAAATGACACAGGACATTTTGCAGTTCTACGGTTTGCCATTCGATCCAGCCGTCGAGGAGTTCCTAGACACGCACACCAAGGTCAACATTGGCGGTGTCAGCTCCACCTATCGTGATTCCAGGTCAGCGCCCTTCCATTGGATGCAGGATCTAAAGCCAGAAGAGGTTAGTTTTTGATATATATTTCTATGATGGCCGGCCTAACTTCTCCATCATCCAATTTCAGATTAAGCAAATCCAGGATGTCTGCGTCGATGCCATGGACATGTGGGGCTATCGTCGCATCGAGAACTTCAGCAACTTCTCCAGCCTGCAGCAGAGCTTCGATCCAATGGTGCTGCCGCCTCCATTCACGTGAAGCGGGCGGGTCTAGCTGACCTATCGTCTACGATAACTGATAAAGATAACTAATTCTTCTACTTGGTACATTTTGTTGTGATATCGTCGTGTTGAGCGAGCAAAAAGATAGAGAAATGGAGCAGAGGAAGGTGGTGATTCGATGGAGGCGGGCGCAATGAGTGGCCAGAGGAGGGGAAACGGATGCACTGTGGAAACTCAATTCATAGCTGGCACATTTTTGCTGAACACGCAAACACACTTAACTGAGCAATAGTTATTAATATATATAAACTGAATATACAATATGAAATGCATAAGTTTAGTAATTGGCGAATTTTGTGTAGAGCGTAAAACGGTACGAAAACCAGTCGAATATCAGATTTACATTTAGGCCTAGATCTTAAGCAACCAATAACTGAAAGTTTAGTCTATATAGGGCTGCATATTGTGGATTGTTTAGTTGGCTTTTTGATGTAAATTATTTAGGCGGAAACTTTTGTAATTCAGCTTAACCAGCAAGTGCATAGAAATCCAGTGATTTAGCATCTAACACACAACCAAAACGTATCAGAGTCAGAGTCAAAAATTGAAAGAGTTCGAAACTACTAGAGATGCAATAATTATACAACCGTGTTTGGCATACCACAAATTGTGCAATATTTATCAAGTGGAAAGGAGAACAATTTAATCACGCTAGAATCAATTTAGACACGAATTTCCTAAGCAAATTATATATGTATATCTATAAAAGTGGACGAGAAGAGCAATGGGCACTCAACTCCTAAGCATAAGTTTCCTTAGGCATAACTTATTTGTATGGTTATTTAGTTGTAATTGTAATTAAATTGTACTATACTTTATGTCCTTATATTACACAACTGTGTTGAATTCGTTTTCTTTTTCCAAAACGAAGCCCAGTAAATTGATCAAATTTTGGCAACGCGATGTTAAACGAGTAATCGGATTATTTAATAAAATAAAGAATCCAGCAATATTTGCATAAATTACACTTATTAAGCAAGATAACAACTGAATAAACAATGAATAATGAAGCGTTTATATTGTACTTATTGTGGAGCTTACATATAATTTCTAATTTAATTAAATTTTAGGTACTAGTGAGATTTTGCATTTAAAAGTATTTCAAATTCATGAGATCCGTTTTCCAATTTGACATTTGTCGTTGTCCAATAAGAGGATAAAAGGATTCTGGGGATTCTAACGCGCTGAAACCCTCATGAACGAAAAGTCTGGCATCGCTGGTCGCTCATGTGGTATGTAGCAAAGAAGGTTGTGAAAATGGCTAAAAATGACATTTTACACGTTACGCGTGTATTTAGTCAGGTCACAAACAACTCCAACTAGGATCTGCTTACTTTACACTGGAAAAATAAAACGTAGTTTAAAAAGCCAAAAATAAATATAATTTTTGTCTCTTTTCTTCTTTCAGAGGTTAAATTTCAGCAGTTCTGTGAAGAGAAAATATTTAAAATATTAAAAAAAATTATAAAAAGCCATAAGATATTCCCTGCCAAGGTTAAAAAATCAAACTCGCTTGGTTATGCTTTAATAGAGTGCGTCGTTGTTGGTTTTGCTCTTTTATTACTCGGTTTTATATTTTAAATATAGTTTAATATATGCAGCTATATAATAGTTATTTAAAATTTGAATACTACGGCTTTGTCGAATTATTTATAATCATTATAGTTATGCGTCTGCTTTAAACTTAAAACTTTAAACTAATTTTTGTTGTGTTTGCTCCGATCGATCTCGCCGCCTCTCTGCCCCGCTGCTCGCCGCTCCTTTGCCAGGATCCGGGTCGGTCTGTTATTGTTTGCTACTCTAAGGTGCTAAATACGTATATATATATCGTTAATTCATTAATTTATTAATTATACACTTGAAACAATTTCGTGCGAGAATTGATACGATCGTTGATTAGGTGTTTTAAAACTATATAATACAAAAAGTCTTGGCATTAAAGTATAAGTGGTTTAAACAAAATAATTAAATTATTTTGCGCTGGTTTACAGTTACCATTTGTTTTTGTTGTCTCACACGCACACACACATACACACAGACACACTCACACACACATTAAATAAATTAATTAAATCCTCTGCTGTTTGTACTCAAAACCGCAAGCCTTACAATTTGGCCTTTCATAAGAAGCCCATGTCAAGGGCGGTGTACAGGGCGCGAATGTCGCTGTGGGCGGAGATGCGCCAGAAGGGGAAGTTCATGGCCTTGGCGGCGGACTCCTCCTCGGCCCCATCGCCGATCACCACGTAGGTGCTTTTGCGCCCGAAGCGAGTCACGATCCGTTCGTAGCAGGTCTCCTGGCCTGCAGAAAAAATAAGAAAAAAACGGGGGTTACATCTCAGATCCATCGATTGCCATTCGTCGTGTCCACTCACCGATCTTGTGCGCACTGTAAATGTTCTCGATATTGAAGATGCTGCCCAGGCCGAAGAGCAGGACCTTGGCCAGCGCCGGGGCCAGCTGCGTTGAGGTGACCAGCACATTGACACAGTTCTCGCGCTGGGCAATCATGCTCAGACACTTGAGCGCCAGCGTGGCCCAGTTGTCGGTGGCCACCTCGATCTCCGAGCGGATCTGCAGCCAGGCCTCGCGTTTTCCGGGTCCCAGCAAAGTGCCAACGCTGGAAGGTGCAAAGACAAGTTAGTTAGGTACTGACGGAATTCTTGTGTTAAATGTACTCACTTTCCCCGGTAGCTGTTGTAGATGTCCTTGATCTTGCGATAACGGAAGGCCAGCTTGCGCATCCAGTCGACGCCACCCCGGACGCCGGTGGGCAGGCAGAGATTGGGCGGGGCGCCGGGCGGAGTGCCCGTGTGAAAGCCATCGGTGGCAAAGTTGTAGGCGCTCAGGTCCTGCCCGTTGTCGTCGGAGCTGACGTCGTCGATGTGCACCTGGTCGCACTCCTCGATCTCGTTAAAGAAGAAGTGAGTGTCGGCCATGTTGAAGACCATTTCCTCCATGCGGAAGGCGATGGTCATCAGGGAGCTGTGGTCTTTGGTGTAGCGGTTGGCATAGCTGCCCGAGAGCAGCGTGTGAAAGATGATCAGGGTCTCGTCCAGGTCCCACACAAACACCCTCTCCGGCGGTTTCACTGCCTCGCTGTTTCCGGTATCCGAGGCGGTGCTTCTGGTGGGACTTGGCTGCTGGTGGCGCCTACCACGCGCCCGCCCCGTCTTGCCGGTGGGCGTGGTCTTGCTGGCCGCCACGCCCCCGCCTGATCCTGCCGTGCCCACGCTGCTGCCGCCGCTGGAGTTCAAGGTAGCCGCAGCAGCCGCAGCTGCAGCAGAGCCCAGTGGTCCAATGCCGGAGCTGGCGCTGGGTGAGATCGGGAGCGGGGAGTGCGGCGAGTGCGTTGTCTGGTGCACCGGCGTTGTCGAGTGCGTATCCGTGGGACTCTCGGAGAGGTTCGAGGAGGCCGCCACATGGAATCCGTGACCATGGCTGGCGCTCGAGCTGGGCGAGCTCACCGCGTACGGCGAGTAGTTGGCCGGACTGTAATAGTTGCCGTACTGCTCGTTGTAGTACCCGCTGTAGTCCTGCTGCCCGAAGTTGTTGTAGCCTGCGTAGGGACTGCTGTACAGCTGCGAGTTGTTGTTGCCGCTGGAAGCGTAGCTGGGCGTCAGGTAGGCTGCCGCTGCCGCAGCCCCAGGCTCCATCTTGGCCTGCCTGGCTGCCGTCGCCGCTGCATATGGAGCTCCATAGCCGGAGTAGAAGGGTGGCGGCGTGTACTGCTGCATGCTGTTGTAGTAGTAATAGTCGTGCTTGCCATCATACACAGCCGCTGCAGCCGCCGCCACCGCGGAGGAGTTGACCGTTGCTGCGCCGCCGTCCAGGGGATTGGAGCTGGCCGAACTGCAGCCATAGAGATTGGAGCCACTGACACTGGTCACCGAGCCATTGTCGAGGACAGGATGCACTTGGCCCGGACTGCGTGACTCTGATTTAACGGCCGCACTCGAGGCAGTTCCGTCATGCGACCAGTGCGACATCACATTGGCCCCGCCTACGCCCACGCCCACATCCTCGCCAGACACTCCGCCTGTGCCGCCACCCGCCTGCTGATATGTGGAGAAGCTGCTGCTCACGGACTGCGAGAAACTGGAGGCTGCTGCCAGGCTGCAGCTGCTCGGATTCACATTGGGATTGGCGTTCCCGTTCGAATAGTGTCCGCTCAGCGAGGCCAGCGATCCAATTGTGGGCTGCAGCGGCTGGCTCTGTGGCGGCAGTCCCAGTGGACTGCACTGCCCGGCCACGCCCACACCCACTCCCACACCGACGCCCATGCTGGCACCGGCGCTACTAGGTCCATTGCTGGCCAACACGGTGCTGGGATGAGTTCCCTGCTGTTGCTGCTGCTGCGTGTGCTGCTGCTGCGACTGTTGCTGCTGTTGTTGGGGTTGTTGCTGCTGCTGTTGCTGCTGTGACAGATTGCAGAGGCTGCAAAAAGATAAAATTAAAGGGTTGTTAGTGAAGGGAAGGTAATTGGAAAGGGGGTGAGAGGTGAGGCAACTTTAAAAGTTATAAAGGATATGCAATAATTTAAGTTTGCGTTACTAAACCTTCTTGTTTCACTTGTTTTAAAAATAAATTCGATTAAAAAATAAATCACGACAAGAGATAACATTTTCAAATAATTCAATAAAATGTAAATGAGCCAGTTAATAAAAAGTGAATTAAGACTGTTAATAATAACTCTGACAAAGTGTAATTTGTGGCTCAATCAGAGTACTCATTTTTAAACTCGCTCTTTACATTTTACAAATAAATAATTAAAACCAGTAAGTAAGAAGAGAAGGGTAATGAATAAGTAATTAACTTGGCCAGCTCAGTAATTATAACTTTGTGAAACTATAAAATATGTATAAAACGGACCTCGATATTTTAATTCGCTTTTTATACCCTTGCAGGGTATTATAATTTCAGTCAGAAGTTTGAAACGCAGTGAAGGAGACGTTTCCGACCCTATAAAGTATATATATTTTTGATCAGCATCAACAGGGGAATCTTTCTAGATATGTCAGGAAGCAATCGATTTTTTGGCCATTTTCGCAATATTTTATAAGGGGTTACATCATTAAAATTTTTGATTTTGATAAAAAATTGAATTTTCAAAATTTTAAAATGAAGTATGCAGATTTATTAACTGTAGAAAATCTTGCACAGAACAGTTTTCCGATTTAAAATTAATGCTCTTTTGGCCGAGTTATGATATTTTTAATTAAAAAAAAAAATCAAGAAGTTTTTTAATATAAAAAATCAGATTTTATAATACAAAATAATATTTTTCTAAGTCAAGGAATCATTTCCGACCCCATAAACCATATATATTCTTGATCAGCATCAACAGGGGAATCATTCTAGACATGTCCGGAAGAAATCGATTTTTTGGCCATTTTTGCGAAATTTGATAAGGGGTTACATCATTAAAATTAGCGAAAATGGCCAAAAATTTTGATTTCTTAAAATTTTAAATTTGGTATGCAGTTGTTTTAAATTAATAAAAACTAACACAAAACTGCTTTCCGAATCGAAATTAATGCATTTTTGGCTTAGTTATGATATATTTTAATTGTTACCTGTAAGGGTACACAAACTTTGACTGGCCAAAGTTAGTTATTTGAATTTATTATGTAAATATAACAAGAAGAATATTTACATAATAAATTCAAATAGCAATTTCTGAACCTTTCAATTTATTCAATCTTATTTAATGTCGCATTTTAAATTTGTCTAAATAAAAGTATCTTAATATATTTTAGTATTACATTTACACAAAAAGACTAGTGTGTTTTTAATTCTTTTCATAAATAAATATTTACAGAATCCCAAACTATAACCCAATATTTTTAATAGTTATGCAAAGGACATATCTACAATGCTTCAATATAATACAAATATGTTAAAGACAAAAAACTAAATTATAAACAAAAGAAAGTCACTTAGTTTCCTTTTAAAATAATAGGATTCTAGAACTTCTAGGCATGTAAGACCAGTAACATCTACATGGAAA